AGACGGACCGACCGACTTTTTTTTAACTTTTTTTTCTAGTCCCTTTCTTTTTTTGAGAAAATCTATTTTTACGAGCCCTTTTTTTTAGTATTTTTTAAAAACACGAAAATTTAAATTAAACTAATTGCACTCATGATTTTTTATTCAAATACCCAGTTCAGTTTTTTCTATTATGTCGCTAAGATCAAAAATATTAGTAGTATTTCATCAGTATGTAATTTGTATCTAAATATAATTTACAAAACACACGAATTAAAAAAAACCGAGCGAAAAATACCGAGCAAAGCTCGGTCAATCGGGTACTTTAAACTATAGCGGTTAAGTATACAAACATAGAACTTATCGGCTTCCAGGAGTGTAGTGTCTGCCACGAGGTGGCGTCATGGGCAAATATATGGTAGTTAGTGTGTGATGTGGGAAGTGTATCGTGTAACCTGATTCAACGTCACCGGTAGAATCAGATAGCTGCACCACGTTCGCTGACCGCTCCACAAGACGTTACCGTTATCGGAGACCGAGTCCAACGTCGCTTAGCACGAACTATAATCGCGAGCGATCTACAGCGGGATCACAAGTTCAACGTTCCACACGATAATACAAGTCTTATCACGCTATCAACGAAGCACTAATAACCCGTCGATGCAATTAACAGCGTAAGGTTGCTTATTATTGTCCTTCAACCGAAACACCAGCCGTGCACAACCGTATGCCAGTTGCAAGCTATACTTAAACGTTTACAACTATAATTATATAATCTAGGCTTCGTTGCCAAGAAAACAAACAAATTAAGATAAACCGTGAGGTTCGCGAAGTATAAATGACACGGGCTTCGAAGCGGCAATTATATCCACGAACGCGCGACCTCCGAGCGCCTCGACTAGATCAACAAGGGGCGCGAGCGAGACCCGTTGGCACGGTATTCCGCCGCACCGATGCCTTCCCCCCGGCCCCGCCGTCAGACCGGTTCCCCGCTCAAAAATGCCTGCAATTGTTAAATCATGCCATGCCGTGCGTGAACATATTGCTACCATCGAATTATTTTTCAATTTACGGTTTCTTACTTACGGCTTCTATAATTATATTATAATTTATACGAAAATAATCATGTCATTAAAAATATTCGAACACTAAGCAGCATAGCTTACCTCCATTGATGAGATTTATGAAAAGATGGCTCTCAGTCCCCGGCAGTCTCGATATTCCTAGCTACAGTGGCGACCATGGTAACGGCAGGGCAGGGGGTGTTAAGAATCTCCAGTGGAAGTTCGACTGCCACCTAAGATGACTCGACCTGGCAACATACAATGCACGCACCCCGAGGACTGACGAGAAGATCCTGGAGCTGGAAGAAGAGATAGACAAGTTGCGCTGGAATATTATAGGAATATCCGCGGCCCGAAGAGAGGGGGAGGACACGGTGATCCTCGAAGCCGGTATATTGTTCCATCACTGGGAGGGAAACCATCTGTTTAAGTAGGTGTAGGATTTACCATCCACAAGTCTCTGGTTAACAACGTTGTAAAGATTGAAAGTGTGCCGACGAGGCTTGCGTACCTTATACTCAGAATCGCCAAACCGTATTCGCTGGAGCCCATACTGGTATAGGCACCAACCTCGGCACATCCCGATGAGGAGGTGGAGGAAATGTATGAGGATATTCTAGAGCCATGCATTCTTCCAAAACCTTTAACATGGTGTTAATGGGAGACTTCAATGCAAAACTAGGCACAAGAAAGAACAATGAGCTGAAGGTAGGGTTTGGGATAGTGCAACGGAACCCAAGGGGCCAGCAGCTGGCCAACTTCATGGAAAAATAGGAACACTTTATGATGAACTCTTTCTCCCAGAAGCGGCCCCACAGAAATTTGACCTGGTCAAACCACGATGGTTCGACAAAAAGTGAGATTGACTTCAATAAGACGACTAAACGGCAAAACTGCTCAGTGATGTCTCAGTGATCGCAAGGGTGAACACTGGCAGCGATCACTGAATGGTTAGATACACGCTGAAGCTAAACATTGAGTTGGAGAGGTCTCGTCTAATGAAGTCAACGCTCCCCCCCTCTCCCCCCCCGTGCTCTTATCCAAACTCCCGAAACCATTTAGCTCGAGTTACAAAACCGTTTTCAGTACCTACAAGACTGCAATGCAGTGAACGATATGAATAATAAGCTCGTGGAAACTGTCCAAGCGGTCGAAGCTAAGTTCTGCAAGACTCGCCGCAGAATAACACAAAAACTCTCCGATCGCACTCTTAATCTCACGGCTGTTAGATGAGAAATGAAACTACAGTCTTAAACAGGTTTGATAGCATACACGCAATCAATCAGACAGATCTCCAAATGCATGCATCGGGACTTGCGTAATACTACTCTTATTAAATAAGCGATCGAGCGAAACCAAGGCTCCAAAGTCTTTGCCAGAGATCTCTCTGTCAGAAAGAACCAACTGTCAAAGCTGATGACGCAGTGTGGCAGCATCGTTTCCGGGACACCTGAGTTTTTAAGTGGGATTGAGAGGTTCTACGGGCAGCTGTACATATCACCGTTGGAGCCACAAGCAAATGTGAGTATCGCTCCGAGAGCAAGCTTTATCCAATACCATTCCGTTGATATCCAGGACGTCAGTCCGAGCCAGATTAGAATGGCTCTCCAGCACCTTAAAAACAGCAAAGCCCCGGACGAGGATGAAATTACAGCGGAGCTTCCGAGAGCGAGTGGAAAAGTTACTACTCCTTAAAGTCCTTCAGAAGGTCTTTATTTCTGCTCTCCATGGTGGTACTACTCCGAAGATGTGGAGCAGAAGTGCGGTGGTCTTGTTCGAAAGCGATTTCCCTTCTGAGCCTCGTATACGTGCTGTTTTATAGAGTCATTACAAATCGTCTTGCACGCAGACTCGATGACTTCCAACCTACCGAACAAGCCGGTTTCAGAAAATGCCATCAGTACCGTAGACCACATACATACCCTGCACCAAATTGTACCGAAGACCAAAGTGTATAATGTGCCACTTTGCCTTGCGTATGTGGACTTCGAGAAAGCATTTGAATCCGTCGAAATTTGGGCGGTGCTATAGTCCCTTCAGTGGTGCCAAATTGACTGTCGGTATTTTGAAGTCTTCAAGTGTTTGTACGGTAGGGCTATGATGGCTATCCGAATAAATAACGAGAGTATAAAACCTATCCAACTGTAAAAAGTTGTAAGACAGGGAGACGTAATATTCCTGAAATTCTTCACCGCTGCATTGGAAGACGTTTCCAAGCTACTACACTGGAAAGGATACTGTATTAATATCAATGGCGTGTAACCTTCGATTTGCCGACGATATAGTACTTATGGTAGGATCGCTGGAGGACCTAAGCACTATGCTCAATGACCTCAATATTGTCTCCCAACGGATAGTAGGTCTTAAGATGAACTTAGACAAAGTACAGGTCACGTGTAATGCCATATCACACCTATGCCGATAGTGGTTGAGAGCACTAAGCTCGAAGTTGTCGACGAATACGTTTACCTGAGACAAATAGTCCGATTAGGTAAGTCCAGTACGGGGGGAGGGTGTAATTTAGAACCCTTAGGAAAGGTTCTTCTATGCAAAAACTACAAAAACCCAATGAAGACTCCGTGATATTCCGTATAATATATAATTAGTCAAATACAGTCCACTTAGCTCTCCATCAACTACAATACATATCAATGATAATCGTTAATAGCAGTGTTCCATTTCAGGCTTAGTTCACGTACCAATTTCTAATTTTATAGCTAGTTGTCGGGTAAATTTTTCCTCACACTTGTAACCTGTAGAGCATACATTACATGGAGGGAGCACTGTGTGAGCAGAAAGCGTGATCGGTGCTCTAAGGTTTAGGTAGAGTCTGTCTCTCTCGCACATGCTTCTGATTGGCTGGCGTGTTTTCCACCGTTGCATCGCGCGAGCGCATGCCCAATGAAACAGCCAATGACAGTGACTGTGCGAGAGAGACAGACTCTACCTAAACTCAGCTCTCTCTCTCTCTACGCCGATCACGCTTTCTGCTCACACAGTGCTCCTTCCATGTAATGTATGCTCTAAGCTTGTAACGCTAAACATAGGGTGCGTTCGGCAGAAAAAAGCGCTAGCAAGCGCTTGTAAGCAAAATGGCGATCGTAAGCGGTAAGCGCTGTCAAATCGTAAGTAGCTATTTTCCTCCAGGACACGATGTAGTTTTAACCGGGGAACCTAACCTTATTTAAATATATGTTTGTATTCATATTAAAAACTTACCAATCATGAATTTTTAATAACATGCTTATGTTTATTCACGTTATTATATTACTTAAAACTAATATTGCACAAAACAACTTATAAACTCTACTTCAAAACAAACAAATTAAATAAGCAAAATGGCGGATTGTGTCAGCGCTACTGAAGTAGCAATTGTGTCCTGGCCGAAAACTATTTTAGCGCTTATAAGCGCTTGCTAGCGCTTTTTTCTGCCAAACGCACCCATTGTGACGTATTTTTTTTTCTCTTTCTGCGACACGCTATGGCGGTGTCTATAGGATTCTCTGTCTACGCTAGCTACATATTTAATATTTTGGCCTAAAGGTCTAGATACCAGGCCATAAACTCCAAAAAAAAAAACATATTTATTATTTATTATGTTATCAATTATCATCTCCTGCTAGTCTTCGTTGAACTATAAAATTGGAAGTGATATCGGCAACAATTGTTCCAAATAGATTGATTAAAAATATACATTTACAACAAATTAATGTTACTATGGATATACTAGTAACTTTGTTCTACTTGCTGTTTTCGTTTTGCATTATTTATCCACCCACAGAGTTTGTTTCTGCTGGTTTCACCATAGCCCAAATCTTCGATGGGTTTTTGGGTTCCGAAAATGTTAATTTCATAGGATATCATATGAAGAGGATAACAATTACGGCTTTTATACATTCTTCTTTACCTCTGGGATATGTATTCAGTCTTTGGTGTGGTGGCGAACGTGGAGAGTGGATGCTGGCAGCAGCAGCTGCTACAGCCATTATACCGCTGCTAATGTGCTATAAGATAATATGCTGGTGGGAATATGACAAAAGCAAACATCCTGTTGTGAAGCCTCTTCTGTGTTATACAACTCCAGGGAGTGATTGGCGTGTAGTTGCCAATAATATTAATATTGAATTTCGAAGGTGAGCAGACATTTGACGAAACAACCTATGCTTAGATAATTTATGTTAAAAGTGTAGAAAGCATAGTTTCTGTTTATTGTGAAGTACCTGGGCAGCTGGGCATAGAATGAAACTGTACTCCATTCCTGCTTATATTCCTTTTAATGTGGAAAAGCCATGATGCAGGGAATTTTAGAAAATACAGTAGGCACTCGATAATCCGGAACCCGATTTTTTCCCTTTATGCCAGATTGTAAACAGAAGTAAAATAGATCCTAGAGCTGCGAAACGAGAGAAAGCAAAACAAACACATGGCTTCACTATTAAGGTTAGGCCTGGACTACCGAGCGAGAGAAGAGAGAAACTACTCAAATAATTCAACCCAACCGCTCAGTAGTCCGGCGTTCAGCTGTGTAAAATGCCAGATTATAGAGCGGCCTACCTGAGTTCCAAAGTGCCTGACTACTGAGCGTGCCGGATTATCGAGCGCCTATTGTACTTTAATATCATTGTAATTAAATAAAATACAAATTTCACCTTTACCATGTGTACTATAGGCAAATTACAAACCCTGTAAGCAAGGGACTTTGTTGCAAGACAAAAATTTTCAGTTTATTGTAAAAATATTATGGAGTACAAATATAAAGCCAAAAGAGCCTTTTTACTGACAATTCATAATTTAGCTGACAGTTGGCTAGTCTTTATATCATGCAAAAGGAGAGATCTCAATATTGGTTTAAAATAACTACTAGATAGGGATATTAAATGATAAAAATCATAACACCATTTCAATTGACAGGCAGGTTTTATATGTGGTAGAGCCATGCTGCAGTTATATTAGTAGCATGGTTGTAGCATGAATGGGTCGGCTCGACGGGGGAAGGACCACGCTCTCACAGAATACCAGTATAAAATAGTAGCTTAACATTGTTGTGTTTCGTATGGTGAGTGTAGAGAACTGGAGACCCTTTTTACTGGAATTGAGGCAATCCATCGTAGTCCTTACGGTTGACAACACATCTGCATTTTGATTTGCAATCGAGGATAGATGTAGATGTCTTTGGGCCGCAGCAACCACTTACTCAGGAGGCCTGTGTGCTCGTTTGTCACCTTATTCTATATAAAAAAAAGCAACTCCTTTTTTAGAATCGTCACCAACAAACAAGTACACAGTCTACCTGATGGTAAGTAGATAATGTGGCTTATAAACATCTACATTTATGCTTGAATAAAATAAAAATGCAGAAGCGTTATCACCCCTGTGCATGTAGGGCTAAGATTTAATGCCTTGTATCGAGTGAAAAGGGTATTCAGTTCTCTACACTCACCACAAGAAATACCAGCAGCATTAAGGTGGTGTTTTCTGAGTTTGGTCCTTCCCCAGTCGAGTAAACCCATTTTTGCTACAACCATAATAAAGCTGCAGCATGGTTGTACCACATACAACTTAGTGGGCTAAGCTATTTACATTTTTTTTATGGAGTTATGCAAAGTCATCTTTCCTGACTTTTAAAACATGTTCGTTTTCTTTATTAGAAATTTTATATGTATTTCTATCATTGTCCTCGGCTGAGGTGATCCATGTTGAGCCTTCTTTGTTAGAAGTTAGTTGCTATGCATGGGCTTCTATAATCACTTAAAGTGTTAATTTGTTTGTCACTAATATTTAGAAAATATCAAATGTCTTCATGGAAAGTTTTATTTACTTACAGCGTAGATAAAGTATGCATTCCACTGACGGCCACCAGTAAGTTTGTGGCCACAGAGACGTGGCTGATTCGAGTAACTCAATATGGAATGAATGCTGTGAAGCAAAGGGACTGTTCTTTGGTAGCAACTGCTGTAAGTTGATATTTATTTTTAATATTAATATCTTCTCTCTAAATTCATCATCATGTTTAACATGTCTACTGCTGGAGTCTCTTATTATAGGGTAAAATTATCTCGATTGACAGTTACGTATGGAACATACGTCTTGCACTTTTGACACTACTTAGGCTGGGGTATGAGTACAGAGCCAGTATTAGTGCAACATAGTCATCAACTCTTATCAATCTGTGAGATTTGGGATTGGTATTTACAATACATTAGATTTATGTTTATATATATTGATGCTGAGAATTGTGGCTTAGAATCCTGTACGGAACAAGTTTTTGTATGACGTACAAATATTCACAATATAAGAGAAAATCCTAGTGTGTTGTAGCATAAAAATAAACTCATGGTTTTTTTATATGAGAGGGGCAAACGAGCATGTGGCTTACCTGATGGTAAGTAACTACCGCCGCACATGAACAACTGCAACACCAGCGGAATTGCAGGAGCGTTGCCAGATGTATCATTTGATGTTAAAATATTATCAAAGAAAACCTATTACCCTACATTTTATGACATACTAAACATATTTTTGTTTATTAGAGGATACATTCAACCGGTTTTGTACCATAAGATAAGAAGAGTAAAAATACTTTATTTTGCGCCAGTACTGTGAGATATAATTTTGAATGAACCACATGTACAAGAACCACAGAAATACAGAGTAAACAAAGAACAGAGAGGTTGAAGGTACAGTCATCTTGACGTAACTTAAAAACCTTTTTCATTTCAGACTGATAGCTACGCTCTTTCTACTACGGGCGAGGATGAGGTTCAATATGTAAATATAGAAGCAATACCGTCCCGACCTGACGTAAATCAATTTTCATTCCGAATGACTACAACAGCCTTGCGAGAGATACAATCGAGACTGAGGGATCCTGTGCGTGTGCCGGAACATATATCCTTGTTACCTACTGTCATTGAAAGATTTGTAACCGTATTCAAGCATCATGTTGAACAGAATCCTGTATACTATGTTGATCAGGTACAGTTTAGTGTTTTATTTACACTTTTCTTTGTTGTTGATTATAGTTAGAATAATAAAATTCAGTAAATATTAAATAGTAGTTAGTATCACTTGTTGTGTTTTGTCTTTGTTTATGTATAGTAACAAAATTCAATTATAAAATAAATATAATTTATTTATTTAAAATGTTTTGTAAGTAAATTAATGTCTGTATGTCCACTTTATTTTACCTGCTGAAATGGCAACATAGATGATTTTAGAGATACCAAAAAGTGTACATCTATGGTAAAATGCTTATTGAAGGATATAATTTTCATTCCTCTCCTTTTATAATAAATATCATACTTAAAATAACATAAAAAACATAAATACTAACGCCTGTCACCCAGAGAGATAGGCAGAGACTATGGAGTTTAATTTGGCACTATTCTGACACATCTTTCTCGCTTCTTTTACATTTATATACCATACATGCTCGTCGGTTAAGGGTACTCATAAATTGGCCCATCTTCAATATATTGTTGATCCCTTTCTGACACTGCCAGTCACTTCTGCAACATAGACTTAAAATAATAAATTTCAATTTATTTGATTTTGAGGTATAAATAATATCCACCAGACCGAATTTTAGTCACAACCGACAGTCTTCACGGAGACTAGCTATCTGTGCTGGACAGAATAGTACACGTGTATGTGCGCAAGCACAGATGTACTGTCTATCCTCTCACTCATAGTCAGAGAGGGACATCAGGCGCAGTACCAACGGCTTTGGGGTCTTTCCAAGGCACGGGGTTAAAACACCAACAACTTCCTGACTCTGGGCTGCTACTGAGAATTTCTTAAGAGAAGACCAATAGGCCAAAGAGACAGCCGTAGCTGGTATAAAGAATTGTACTACAGACACTTAGATGACTCTTATAGTGTTGCATCGAACTATGAGAGTGCAGGTATCGAGAGTGTTTCTGTTCTTGTGCGCACACTTGCGCTCTTTTATCTTACTCATATTGCTAGTCTTTGAGGTTGAGTGCCATGACTGAATTCGGCCAGGGGGACATTCTTGTTCACCATACTGAGTATGTCATGTTATTGATGTTACACAATAAGTGAAATTTATTCAGATGTTTGTATTTGTACAATAGATGTTTGTATGTGTACAATTCCTGATTTAGGAACTGGAGCAGTGCATTGGCTGCATGCAAAATATGGCAGACGTGAAGATAGACCGTCGCTGCCTGCCTGTACCGCCGCAATTGGAGGCAATTGCTCCTCCACCTTGCCAACAGTGCAACTGCAGGTTTGACTCCATATTTCTTATCACAAATAAAAATTAAAAGCAAAAAAACTTTATTAAAAACAAGCTTTTATTTAAATGCGCTAAAAAGAATAGAATAAACTTTTCCTTTAAAACTTTTACTATCAAGTTATAACGTCATTACAAAATTTATATGATATAAAGCTTGAATTAATTGTTTTTAAGTTGTTAAAGTCGGGAATCCACCATACAAAGCATTTCATATGGGACCATAGAGATTTATTTATTTAGACCAGTGATGTACAGACTTATTAAGACTAGGGGCCACTCAGGCAAATTATGAACTGATGGCGGACCGCCAGAAGTATAGGTAATTAAAGACAATAAAGAATTGATAATAATGTATTAAAATTGAAAAAGAATTTATTAATTTGAAGCGTGGAACTGCATAGTGCTTACAATCTTTTTTATATTTGGCTCAAACTTCTAGCAACACGTAAAACTGTCGGTTTCGATTTTTTGTTTTATTATTATTTAGTATTGAAAAGGTTTGTTCACATATACAATATGTAACGTAATTAACGCACACTCTCAGACACCCCAATTAGTATATTATGTTATAATCATAATACATACACTGAATTTTTAGTTAAACATTTTTATACACTGATTATTTATCAAATTAATTATACTAATTCCGGAAGAATGTTGTGGTCACAGTACAAATCCACAAACGCAAAGATTTTAACTTGCTTGAAATAAAGTTCATTTTTCTTTATTTTTATTGAATGAGAATTAGTAATAATACAAATAAAACTGCACTCTAAAAAGTCTTATTGCCTTAAGTTACGGTCCATTTCAGTTTGTTTTGACTGTACAGATTTAGTGTGACTGTAATTTACGTAGTTTTAATTATTTTTGGGATAAAAAATTACCTATATTAAAAATGATAGGAATCGATTCAGTAAACGATTCTGAAAAAACTACTTTCTCAAAGTGCGTTAATTATGTTACGTGTTGTATAGGTAGAACCAAATAAGCTGGCACATTTCAGAGCGTTTATGCGCAACTCTTTGTACGTATTTTTATCAATGCAGCGGTAAAAGTTCAGTCTCCTTCGTTGAATTTTTTGCGTAAATCTTGGTCGTTTTGAATGTCGATAATTTCTAACTGCATTGACTGTGGCGCATTTTCAACTGAAATCGTGAAAGGATTGCTGAATATATCCAACAGAGGTTTCACTTTTTTAAACTCCGAAAATCTGTCTTGAAAAGATTGAATCAAAATATCTAGCATCAGCAGCAGTTTTGTTGAATTTTTCAACCATTTTCTTATAATTCGGAAAATGATTGTAATTTCCAGAATTCAATTGCGATCTGAAAATTGTCAAGAGTGACTGAGCTGGGATGTCAGTTGATTTTTGCCTTGAAGCTGTGTGTTCAAAACATTCAAATGATTTGTAATATCAACTAAAAAAGCCAAATCACACAACCAATCAGGATTTTTAAGTTCCGGGACATCCCTTTGCTTTTCCGTCAGAAATATTCCAATTTCTTCTATTAAATTTACAAATCGTTCCAGTGTCAATCCACGACTTAGCCACCTTACTTCTATATAATACAGTAAATCTCCATATTCGCTTTCGATGTCATCAAGGAATTGTTTGAATTGCCTGTGATTGAGTCCTCATGAAATTTACAGTCGAAACTACCACTTTCATGACATTTTGAAATTCAATTTTTTAGAACAGAGGGCTTCTTGGTGTATAATGCAGTGAAACTGCATGAGATCTTCAGCGTTTATGTTTTTTTCTTGCAGATGCTTTTTCAGCAAAGTAACTAGCCCAGAATTGACACCAATCATCAAAGGAGCACCGTCAGTGGCAACTCCCAATAATTTTGATAATTCCAAATCAGTTTTTGAACACTCATCCAAAAGTACATTGAGTGTATCAACTCCTCTGGTTTGACCTTTCAATGAACACATTCCTAATAACTCTTCTAAGACTTCAAAATCTCGAGTAACACCTCGTATTAATATCAGAAGTTGAGTTGTGGAACTAATATCAGTGGATTCGTCGAGTGCTAATGAAAAAAAAATCAATGATCTTAGTTTTTTCATTTAATTGTTCCGCAATATTACCTGACAAAGACATAATTCGTCTTTGGACGCACGCACGCACGCACGCACGCACGCACGCTTATGCTATTCTTGTAACTAAAGTATTGTATGTTAATTAAGGAAGAGCGAGTTTTTCCTGTCACAAGTATTTAAAAATACTTAAAAGGAGAACTCTAATATACTGCTATGATTGTTAATTTATTGTTACAGAATAAACATTTTTGAATTTTTTGAATTTTCTTCAAACTCTTTTACAAAATCCCCATCATTGAAGGGGTGACTTCGCTTTGCTATCATTCGAGAAATTTCATAACTAACTTCTGTAGCTGTTTCTGAATCTTGAATGGGTTTTGTAAACATAGCCTGCTGACCAATAAGCTCCCGTTTTAAAGACATTTTTTGCTTTGAAATAATACTAATTTTTACGGAATTTATCGCGTATATTTATTTTTTTTTACCCGACGTTTCGAGAGCTTTACAGCACCCATGGACACGGGAAGGACTGAGATGTTCAACGTCCAGCTATCATAGTTAACCGCGGTTACCATAGATTAAAATTTAACTTTTGTTCCGATTTAAAATCTAAATCAGGCAAGTAAAAAAGTTGTTACGGGCGGTAATCCAACAAAAACGCTCCGATCTATATGACATAAATAAATCCATAGACATATCATCCAGTGAATTAAAGAAAGTTTCAACGACGTTTGATTATAACTTTTGCATGGAAACATTAAATAAACGCGAAATTAGTAAATATAACGAATGCAAAAACAAACATATAGAAAAATATCAAAAATTAACGGCCAAATCAAATGTCAAACATCCGAATCAATGCCAGAACCAAAAGCAACCATTGACAAACACCGATCATAGATTAATCGCGTTCTATAATCTGTCAAAACAAACACTGGATGATGCAACAATAAAGGTGTTATCCAAAGGACTAAATTACGCTATAACTCCAAGCAGATTACCGTACGAAGAAATTATCTGTAGTGTCGAGGACTGTTTATTTAAAAACAATATGCGGAAAGAAGATTTTGAGGCGATACCTCAAGACATTTCGTCTATGTTACGTCGATGTTCAGTGCCTAAACCGAATCTTCCCAGAGACGAATTTATAGCGTTAAAGAACCTACGCAATAAACCAGAACTTACGATTCTCCGCGCAGATAAGTGAAACGCCACGGTGGTCATGGATACGTCAGATTATAATTCTAAAATACAAGAACTTTTGTCGGATGTAAGTACTTATAAAAAGGTTAAAAACGACCCAACAAACAGCACACTAAAAACAACTAGTGACCTCATAAAGAAATACTCCGAAAAATTAAATCTGGACGTAAAATGGATAATACCTACGTGCGCCAAATCACCAAAGTTGTATGGGTTACCAAAAATACACAAGCCCAATGCTCCATTACGCCCCATAGTGAGCCAAATCGATTCACCAACTTACAGATTGGCTCAACACTTAGCGAAAATACTCTCACCGCTCAGGGGACATACAAGAGCACACATAAAGGATTCCTACCATTTTGTCAGCGAGATTAAAGACCTACGTCTGGCAGACTATGAAACTATGGTCAGTTTTGATGTGCAGTCATTGTTTACATGCTTACCTGTTGAAGACTGCATCTCAATTGTAACTAGAAGGCTGGAAGAAAACAACATGCCCGTAGAATATGCAGTATTACTCAGACACTGCCTTACATCTGGCTACCTATTGTGGAAGGAGGAGTTCTACAAGCAAGTAGATGGTGTGGCGATGGGCTCACCTGTATCTCCCATTGTCGCCGACATATTCATGGAAGACTTTGAGGAGAAAGCCCTGCTTACTTCTCCCATAAATCCAAGATTCTACAAGCGGTACGTAGACGACACTTTCACAATTCTACCTTTAGATAAAGTAACTGCATTTTTAGACCATCTTAACTCTATAAATACTAAAATTCAGTTCACAATGGAGTTAGAGGCAAACAATTCCTTAGCTTTTCTAGATGTGTTAGTAATTCGGAATCCTGATAACACCTTGAGCCATACTGTGTATAGAAAAAAGACCCATACAGATAGATATTTAAACGGTGATTCTCACCACCATCCTTCACAGTTAGCTACCGTGGGTAAATCTTTGTTTCAGAGAGCACGAGGGATCTGTGACAGTAAACACCTGGCTGCCGAGCTCCAACATGTCAAGCAAGTTTTGCATGACAACAAGCTTCGGGTCCCGCGCCTACGTCACAGAGAACGAGTGAAGCCGGCCACAGTCGAGCGTGTACCTGCTGTACTGCCATATGTTAGAGGAGTCACTGACAAGATTGGCTACATCTTGAAGCGCGCTTCCATCAAAACATACTTCAAGCCGCCGAAGAAGATTGGTCAGTTTTTACCATCAGTCAAGTGTAACGTCCCTCTGCAAAATGCAGGAGTGTACAAGCTTGATTGTGAATGTGGTCTCTCCTACATAGGACAAACTAAAAGATCAATTAAAACTCGCGTCAAAGAACATATAGCTGATGTGAAGAATCGACGCTCCGGGAAGTCTGCAGTCTGTGAACATGTACAGGATCGCCCCCGTCACTACATCAGATTTGATAGACCACAAATCCTCGCTAAAGAACACCGATTCCTTCCAAGGATGATTCGCGAGGCTATTGAAATCAAAAAACATCCTAATTTCAATAGAGAAGATGGCTGGGTGCTACCATCTGCTTGGGATCCTATAATAAATAAAATTAAATCCCAACCCAAGCATACAACTGCAAGACTCCATGATACCATAAGTTCATACTGTGTAGATCGGAACAAAAGTTAAATTTTAATCTATGGTAACCGCGGTTAACTATGACAGCTGGACGTTGAACATCTCAGTCCTTCCCGTGACCATGGGTGCTGTAAAGCTCTCGAAACGTCGGGTAAAAAAAAAAGTTAAATATACGCGATAAATTCCGTAAAAATTAGTATTATTTCAATGTGTAGTGTTCGCGTAAATATAAGAAATCATTACATTTTTTGCTTTCTTAATTCGCCTGTAAACTTGGTAAAAGTAGGATGCTGCATTTCATAGTGCCTTTTTACATTATATTCCTTTGCAATCGCAACAGAATTCTTGCAAATTAAACAAAAGACTTATTTCTATATATACTATAATAGATGTATTTCTCAGTCCAAATTTCTTGAAACTGCCGATTTTCATCTTTAACCTTACGTTTTTTACTAGGTCCTGGCTTGTCCATGTTGCGTTCTAATCCTGGCTAGGATTAACACAGCACCTAAAAACAATTACAGTACCTACTTAAATTACCCATCCTTTTTTAAATTACCAAAAATATTTGATTAATTAGGTAGGGAAACACTTATTAATAACAGAGTTTTACTTACGATTTCACAACACGACACTTGACGGGAAAACTACGTTGAATGTGGATCAAAATATATGACACCGGCTAGTCGAGTTAAAATCTACACTAGAACTATTGACACTTCACTCAAATTAAAACCGAACTGTCGGTCGCTGCGGTTAGCGTGGCTTTTATACCGCGTGTATAGAGTCGAAAACTGTCTGGAGAAATCACGAAATCGACTCTGGAAGTTTCGTGTATCTACCTACGCGAGCAATCGGGAATTCGGAACTATTGTTATCTCGCTTGCTCTAACAATATAACCTGTGGATAAGCCGCCACCGCGCTGCCGTCGTCGCCGCGCCGCCGGCCGCGGCGGTTCCTCAAGGAAACGAATTTAACCGAGATCAGCACGAACATTACCGACCGCTGTTACCGACGCATGCACGGCGCACCGATAAACGCACTTAAGAGCGCGCGCTCGAGATTCAAATTACTTTTCGAACATATTTTTTTTTTTTTGGTTTTATTATGGAATATAATTCAATATTTTTCGAATGTACGAGAGTATTATTCGGTCTGTGCATCTACGATTTAGACTTACCAACTAAGTACATATAAAAAAAATTCAGCTACATTTTGTTATAACACTATATATATGTACTTAAATTATAGGTGAGTACAACACTTTACACATTAATGAAATTATTTTATTCAAAAACAAAAATAAAAATTTAAATCTAACACAACAAAGTGTTAGATTTAAATTTTGTTCAAAGAAACGACAAATATAAAATAAAATATAGAAATTCAATGTGTTGCCACGGTTGCCGCATCAAATGCAAGGAATTACCAGTAAGTATAGGCATTTGCACTATTCTACCATCCTTTTGTACAGGAAATTTTAGTGTAGAATGTAATGTGGATCCTCCAACGCTTAACAATTTGTTTGCTGTAAACATTGATTTACTTGATTTTTCGATAAGTTAAAAAGGAAGCTTTTTCCAGTCCCAGCGTTACCTGTTATGAACAACCTTAGACGCTCATCACTTTGATTATTTAGCTATTCTGAAATACTCTTTGTTATGAATTAGTTCAACATTCATTGCTCTTTTAGCATTAAGGAATTCGTCATCGGTCATGTGGCTGTTCTGGCATCTGCAACTCTTCTTCAAGGTTTTCCTGTTGAGCTTCTTGATTCAATATTTCAAAAGAATTATTTTGGGTAAAGCATTCTCCAGCTATCTGTTACACTCTCAATATCTCCAAACATGCGTTAGTGGCGCGGAGATTGCTTTCATTTCTGTACGGAAAATACTGAAGAAGCAAGCTATAGTAATAGTATTCTGGATCACTGGCAGCCACAAAATATGGCACGCGTACGATGTTAGGAATTTTCCTGATTACCATTTTACTAGTCGCTGTCTGGTTATTTTTATAGAAGAGGGCAAGCGAGCATACGGCTCACCTGATGGTAAGCGATTACCGCTGCCCATGAACACCAAGGGTATGGCAGATGCGCTGCCGGCCTTTTAAAAAGGAATAGGCTCTTTTCTTGAAGGTCCCTAAGTCGTATCGGTCCGAAAAAATCTCTGGTGGTAGTCGATTCCACAAGGAAGTTGTGCGAGGAAGAAAACTTCCTTTAAATCGCACAGTAGTGGACCGCCAGTCATCCAGATGGTATGGATGGTATCGCGAGTTTTGTCGCGATGTGCGATGGTGAAATTGTGCAGCTGGAATTAGTCCGAACAATTCTTCAGAGCACTCCCCGTGGTAGATGTGATAAAATACGCAAACAGATGCAACATCTTTTCGCAGTGCCAGTGAGTCAAGCCGATCGGAATGAGCTCGTAGTGGTTTGCCTTTCCCGTTCATATATATCAACACATTCGGGTTCTTAGTTTGATTTTTCATATTGAGGTTCAAAGTACATTGCAAATTCCAGAAGGCATAGATTATCTAAATCGTAGTTGGGATGCTCTGTAGACCGTTTTTTGTAACGTTCGATTATGTTACTGCGGTATCCGGTAGCTGTCCCATTTGAATCAAATTTAAGGATCCTGTACCTCTGTTCTGGCTTTCTTGTGTTTAAAAAGGTACATTTTCTGGAACTATCCCTGAAATTTAAATGACAGAGACTATAAGCATTTTCACACGCAGATATTCGCCTTTCCTTTTGATATTATATCTATCGCGTATATTGTTTAAGGTATGTATATATATTATATTATATACATACTTTAAACAATTTACTTGATATATCTGTTTCTTTACGTTGCATTTCGTGTATTGCTTGAGCCGGCCTCAAGGGACATCTGCGCAAGACAAGATTATAGCCTGAGTGTATACGCAAGCACAGGTGTACTCACTATGCCCTCATAGTCTCATAGTCCGGATTATCGTCCCATGGTAATCCGACACGATTGGAGTGAGATCAGGCGCAGCACCAAACGCCATTACGTGCTTTCCGAGGCATGAGAGTGAAACACCGTCAACTTATTCACTCCGGGCTGCTATTGAGAATTTCTTACAGAAAAACCCAATAAACTGATTTTGGTCTGATTTTGTATTCGAATTTGGGAACTTATGATTAGTAGTCGCGATTACGAGCACTAATCCGACGAGTCAGCCGCGCTATATACATAATATAGCACGCGGCGGTATTGTACACAGATAATGTACTACATGGGACATAGATAAGCCACTGACAAATCATTAGGTGACGGAGCGAGGGAAGTTTTTTCCGCTCTGTCATAGCTGGTGTCGGAATTATAAATTACCAAAAATATACTAGAAGGTGCTATCAACTAGGTTCAGTATTATTTCGTACATTTAAATAAAATTGAAAGGAAATGTTTTTAAACAGAAACAAACTAATTTACAGTTTTGATATATATATAAGGTGCGTTGGGGTAAGATCGGTGATGGGGTAAGACGGTAAAATTCAAATTTTCGGTGAATTATGCTATATTTTTAAAAACTAGCAATATGGTACAAGACGCTATTTTATTCTGCCCCGACCCCAAGTTCCAGTCAGTCGCTCCGGGAAATAGGGCGTGTGCTGCGCGGCATTTTATAAAACAAGGTAATTTATGTATTTTTTTTCGTCCATCCGATCTTTCCCTATCACTTTTATTTGCGATATTTAGCGACGACCGGTCTTACCCCTTGATGGCCAATTCTTCATCATGCATATAAAAACTTATGTCTTGTATTCGCACACGTTTTAAGCGGAAACCTTTTAGCTTACAAAAGTAAAAGCTTCTCATAACTAAAATACGTTTAGCCATTAACGATTTGCACCATGTTTCAGAAATCTGATGTATATGGATGTCGAGAAAGACTCTTTTAACTAGTCGAAAATCGTCCGGTATTACCCCAACGCACTATACATATAATTAAGTTTTAATGTATATATATATATATGTATATATATATATATATATATATATATATATATATATATATATATATATATATATTAAATGCCGGTTTGAATAAAATGTGTAAACGTAGTGGGGGAAATAGTACTTTTAACGACTGCGAGATGGCGCTAGTATCAATGTAAAAGTAAACTACTGAGAACTTTGATACACCTGTTAATGTGCGTGTTGTTGAGTTTGTTTTTATATTATTACTACCCGTTCTTATGTAAATATCATATAACTTTTATTTTACTGTTATAATAAACTAACTACTATAATTTTATATAGATGGCGCTATAAGTATTTTCAAGCACCATAAGGTTTAATTATAAACGAGATATGAAACGTTAGTATTGGCCAGCAAATAAAGTTTCTAACTTTTATCCGATAACCGTTACAGCATTTTAAAGTTCACTGGTGAACATATTCCTTCCCATTGAATGCCCCATTACGGATTACGGAATCAAAGAAGTGGGTAACATATTGTAATATACGGTCAATATAATATGGTCCACCGCTGGGTACAGGAATTCAATGCAATGGAGGCATTCTCTATACTTCTGGAGCGGAGAAGAGTCCAAAGCGCCGCCCTGACGCATTTGTTTTCTTTACTTTATGGGGCTATAGTCAAATTCTAATTTCGCCCCCACTTCTTCGCGCGTCGCATGCTGTGTATTAATGTGTGTGTAATGTGGGGACAGGGTGCTGTGGTGCTGCGCGTGCGTGGCGCGGTGGTGGGCGGCGCGCGCGGCGGGCGGGGCGGGCGGCGCGGGGGGTGCGGGCGCGTGGCTGGCGGCGCGCGGCTCGTGCCCCGTGTGCCGCGCGGTTTTCTGCATGCTGGACGTGCGGCCCGCGCGCCCCAGGCCCTCCTGAACCGACAGGCGCCACCACCGCTTGCGACCCTCGCACAATCACCTCTTGTAACTTTCCGCTCACCACATGTCGCCAGTTCCGACCGAGGTGAAGTTGTTTGTTACACTATGGCATCCAAATTGACAAGTTGCATTTTAGATAAAAAGTCTTACGGTTTCTAGTGTATGTAGTGACTTGCTCTTTAATTTTTTGTTCATTTTTAACTATAAAATATCCTATATTTTGGTTTATTATACTATAACTAGTATTTCATTAAGAAATATTAACCCTTGTATTTTCTTAAAAAAATAGTATGTGTGTACTTCCTCTGCCATGAAACCTGTTAAATATTTCACCTCATTTCTATGGGGCAAAGCTCTGGTAGCAAAAAAAATCGAAGATGAAACACTTACACTCTTACATATGTCATTCAAACAAAAAAAACATTCTTTTTATAGAAATAATGGTGATAAACGAGCTCGCAGACCACATGATAGTGAACATTGTGGTCCGTGGATATCTGCATTTATCATCTTTAAAGAATCACGTTGTCACCACTAAGTAAGTACTAAGTTTCTCTTGTTACCAGTAAATAGGATCTTACCGGTTCTCTACACTCATCATACAAAACATAGCAGTATAAGGCTATTATTTTACGCCGGTATCCTCTAATAGCGTAGTTGCGTCTCCACCAAATAAAGAAATAACATTTTAGGTGGTGGCAGCATCTTTATTTGTAACTACAAAATAAATACATAATTGTATCACATTCTTTTACATCATTATTATTGCACCAAGCAAATAAGCATTTTATTCAGTATTATGTTGCAATGGAATAATCACAGCGCTGATATTCTACCGGTGCTATTCTTATTGAAAACTAATGAACGGTCGCCAAACATAAGTATTTTGTCTATGATAAACCGACCTGTTTAAAATAAAATGTTACAATTTTGTTTCAATTTCTTTAAAGCAAAAGTCTTAAGTTTTAAGAGTTCCTCTGACCGACATAAACGACGAAGGAAACTTGGAATATATAAGCAACTTTGTCATTTTTAAACATGTTATCCTATAATTTATATAAACCAAAATGTATCTGTAAGTGTGTAAATCCAATTTAGTTTATCGTTATGGTCTTTATAAGTATATCAAAGTGTTAAATGAATGTATCGAAACGAAGAAAACAGCTCGTTCGAACTTTATGCGCGTAAATAATTCTTTAATGTTCAGTAAAACGAAATTCATCATCTAACTTAAGGCTTCAATGTTGTTGTTACGATTCGACATTTATGACAGGCAAGGGGCGTAGATCATACATTCTAGTCTAATTTGTATGTTGTTTACAAAACTTTACAATATATTGAAGCGACGCACATTCTGAAGTTCTCGAGAGATTTTAACGACAACTCAATTCAGCATCCATTATTTAAATGACAATACAGAAACAATATCCCGTCGGCGATTAAGATCTCGCCTAAACTGCTCAACTTGTTCTACAACATAGAATTTCAGTTTTTTAAGTATAAAACTTTTTTAGAATCATTGTGATGTGGAACCCTATGAAACGAAAAGGTTCATCTAAAAAAAAGTTCTTAGGTAAAACACATTAAAAAAACAGTCGAATTGATTACCTCTTCCTTTTTTTGAAGTCGGTTGAAAAGAAGGGAAACGCTACTTGTTGAAAATTCAATGTGATTTATTTTCAAAAATGTGCGTAAAAGACAGTAATATTGTATTTTTCTAACCTTCAGGATGATCCAAGAGTATAATAGTTTTGTGTCAAAAATACTAAACATTCTAGCTAGTCTATTCTGGCGGACATACTACTTAGCGTGTTCAGTGACTTAATAATATTTTAATAAGTCTAATTTACGCGAGACATGAAGTTCGATATTTTCTTGATATTATTATGTAATTTAACCATCGTGAAAGCAGAGCTATATTATTATATATATGTAGCTATGTGTCTGTCAAGACTCAAGATCCCAAATACTCAAACGCTGACCCAACTTTAACATGCCGTTTGATTATTTGTCATAAATGTTTAGATTACAGGGTCTTCCTCACAGAATACTAATACCATTAACCCATAGGGTCAACGTGTAAACGTGTACTCTGTTGTACGTTGTAGCGTGGCATTTAGAACATCTACTCCAATAATATACAAATGCTTTAATATTTTATAAGAGACTTTTGCTGGGAATTTAAATTCCTTTTAATTAAAATAGAGTAGCATAATTTTTATATTCAATATAGATTATAAATAATTCTTATTGAAAGACATTTTTTTACCTTTACCACTGGTTCGCTAAAAATAATATGTTCTGGTGAGAAGCAGCCAGAAACCTAGCACGACATTTTTTCTCAAAGTAAAATTATACAATAAAACTCCTGTACAATTACTTACAAAGCTCATTTAAGAAACAGTTCTGATGCAGGAGTCAATTTACATTCTCAGGAGTTCTCGTTATTACCAACCATGTATTCATTTATATTATAATAATTCTTTTAGTACAGGGTGTTTATTAATAATTAATAATTTAGTAGAGAAACCTTAGGTATATATATATTTTCTGGGAATTTGTTGTAAAAGCGAAGAGAAACAAGCTTTTTGAAATTAAACTATATTTTGAATATGTAAAAGACATGAACAAAATAATAAATGACTATAATTATTTCATTCCCATAGCCTAAAATTTTTATTATTTTGTGGCACGATGACAGCGCCGCCACATCATATATAAAGGCTGGGCCAAAAATTATTGCACTTTTGAAACATGAATAGAAATAAAACTACAAATGTTATTTTGTTGATAATTTATTTATCGTAATAATCATTTAATGAAATTTATTTTTTAAAAATGACATCGTCCAAATGTGCGCCGTCTCGTTGTTGGCACTCCTGAAATCGACTACGCAAACTTTGGAAAACTCGCTGACACATGCTGCGGGGGATCGCGGCTATCTCCTCGTGGATGTTTTGTTTTAACTGGGATATTGTCGTCGGTTTATTAAGGTACACTCGACTTTTCAGGTATCCCCATAAGAAAAATTGCATGGTGTAAGGTCCGGGCTTTTGGGAGGCCAAGGGATATCACCTCTGCGAGAAATCAATTTGTTCGGAAACATTTCTTTGACTACCGGTAAACTCGCATTTGACGTATGGCATGTTGCTCCATCTTGTTGCATCCGGGTCCTGTTGTTGTACCCTTGAAATTCATGCAACTGCGGCGTCAAAAAGTCTTGCAACATCTTGACGTATTCCATTGAATTCACAGTTACATTGTTTCCTTGATTATTTGCAAAGAAATACGGACCAATTATTCCCTTTGCTGATATGGCAGCCCATACTGTCGTTTTAGGTGAATGAAGTGACTTTTGGTGTTTAAGGCGAGGGTTGTCCCTGCTCCAATATCGACAATTGTGCTTATTCACGTGCCCATTGATGTGAAAATGGGCCTCGTCCGTAAACAATACATTCTCAAGGCTAGAGAATCGCTCCAGCATAGTGTCAGCCAATAACTTACGTTGAATGTAATCATTTGGTTTCATCTCCTGTACAATTTGAAGCTTATATGGGCGTAGTCTGAGGTCCAGATGCAAAATCCACCGTAGACTAGTTCTTGGTATTGCCAGAGTCGCCGAACGCTTACGCGTAGATGATTCTGGATCGTTCCTTACGGATATTTCGACCTCTCGAATGTTCTCATCACTTCTTCTTAAACGTGGCCGCCCTGTTTGTTTAATATTCGTTGTTGATCCCTTTTGCTCGAACTTCTCGACCCAAGCTTTGATCAAATTAACACTTGGACACTCACTTGTTGTTTTACACAAAAAGCACGCTATGGTCCCGTGAAGCGCTCCATCTTGACTAAAATTGCATGAAGTGACGCAGTTTCCAGCCACCCGCGCGCCCCTCCCTCGAACGGTTTTTCAGAATAATCTAGTGTTGCTATTTGCAAAAATTTTACCCACCTGCCTGCCCACCCTGTATATTATATATATATATATATATATATATATATATATATATATATATATATATATATATGTGTACTGAAGTACTTTGAAACTTTGATAGCGTGATTTACAACAATCAACTTGCCTTTTTTCAGATTTATAATTTTAATGCTGCCTAAAATTGCTAAAATTTAATGTACGTATTACTGTGTACTGTATTTTGGTGTACTAGTCCTACTTAAATAATAGGAATCTCAAAATCTTACATAAAATGATGATTATGATAGACGTATTAATCATAAATATAAGAATGACAAATCGTGTCACCGACATAACATTTGATCGAGTATTTTGTAACACATAAGACTCATTTTATAAAACGCCTAAAATGTTATTTGTTTCTTATACTTAACTTTTCTATAAAAACTAGTATAAAATTGGTACAATTTCATGTCATTTCATAAACAGTATAATGTATTTTTATATTTATTGGTGGAGCCACGTGTTTAAGGCTGCCGAAAATCTAGTTCCCCGGTCAAACCTCAAACCTATTACGCGAGATATTAACTAAAGTGGACTGTATATGCGATTGCTTCTACGCTTACGTAAAGCGACTACTATAGCATGCGGTACAATGCACTCGCTCTTCCCTAAACTAAACTATTACTTGTCGAATCGATGAAAGGAATCCTGCTTGACTAGGAAAAAAAACACAGATTGGAGCGGGTTAAACTATTAGCAAGCAGGTATAATTAAGGAATATTGACTCACCGGGGTTTCTTCTTCCTGTCGATCACTATAGCGGCGACTTCCGGAACACTCCGGAGAGAGGCGGTGCGCGACGATATCTCACACGAGGTGAGGCGGGTTCCTGGAGCTCGACTGCTTCCAGGCCAAAGCGGTTTCCACTAGTGAGGTGTTTCCAAACGAGCGCGCGGGAAGAGGAGGTTGTAGTTCAACGACGACTGCGGCGGGAGAAGAGGCTCGCGCATCGGTCGCGCGTGTCTTATATATCCTCGGCTCGGGTGATTACGCGATGTTCTAGAATCGTCTTCTTTCCC